AGAACAGGAAATGTCATAGGCGGACAACACAGTCAAAAAGATGCTCCTAATTCTTTCTAGGTAGTTATCCCTCTGAGTCATATTTTGTAGATAATCCTGTTACTGAAAAACCCAGGCTGAGACTACAGAAACCCAAAATGTTTCTAAAGAAATTTAAATTTCAGGTATTCAGAAACCTGTCGAAATACTTTGCCTTTCTTCAGGCTCCAAGAGATGTATTAATGTTTGCCAAGAAGAAATTGTATTTAGGACTAAGCAAATTAAATCAGTTATTTCAACCAACCTATATTTTGACATTGGTCAAACCCAAAGCTCACAGCAGTGATTCTGGGTGTCGTGTCACAGGTATTGAAGCAACCCCAAAATTAATGGAGCTCTGTGTAAGCTGACACACCTATTTTTCTCAAGTCTGAGACTTTCATCTATACCTGTATTTCCTTTTTTAAAACTCTTTTCTTCAGTCAGTTTTGATTTCAGGAGTAGATTCAGCCCTAATTTTATGCATCTTCATCTCATCTACTCACTCTTAGCTTCCTTTGTGGTCAGGAAAGACTACCAGGCACTTTCAAGGTGTAGTTCAGTCTGTTTTAGATGCTTACATTAGGCTGAGGTCAATCATGCCCAAGAATTGCTCTTGCTATATAAGGGAATGAACTCAGAGGCAGAAGCCCAATCTGTATAAATTTGTATCAGGTGAATCCTGCTCCATTTGATTATCCAGAGAGTCTAAATTGTCGGAAGAGTTTCAAGATGATGTAACGTGTTATGAATCCATCACATCTGGAAAGCTTTCCTGCCTTGCAAATCTAAAGGAAATCGATGATTGTTTATCTTAACACTGAAAAATTATTGGTATACTTGTTTCTAGTTATTCAGAACTGAAATATTAGCAAATCAAATTTCTACCTATTGAACTTAAATATAATTGACACACCAGAAAGCTCCTGCTTCCTAAAATGATCATGAAAATTACAGTGGCCTTTGAAAGGAAGAATTTGTGCAAAGCAACCTCCAACACCCTTTAAGAGGAAGGCCAAGGGCAACTTCAGAAAAAAAAGCAAGGTTAGGATTCAACTGGCTAGCACGGGTGTGTTCAGTTTTGATTGTCAAATGAACAGAAAGGCAGGACTTGAGTGTTTAGTCTGCCCCTTGCTTTTAACAGCAGCATGATGAGTTATGCAAAGGGGAGCAGTTTATTCTCACTTGATGCATGTTGGAAGAGTTCATCTTGGTGTTGGAGGGAAGGATGTGAGGGACAGAAAGGTCAAACATCCTGACTACATAATTGCCTGTTCGGCTGTTTAATGGAGCAGCAAAAGGCTTGGCACAAAGGCAGCAGTGTGCTCACCTTCTCAGCTGGTGGAATGGCCCACAGTCACTGTCATCAGAGAGCACAGTGGCTTATTAGAGGAATAAAGACAAAACTGTACTCCATTTCCAGAATGGAGGGGCTGGAAATCCTCATGACCCTGTCAAGGCTTTACTGATCTTAATGGGTCTGCCGCATAGAAGCGCTCTGCTTGAACACTGGAGGGGTGCTGCTCCTGGGGGAAGAGTTCAAAAACACTAGCTTAGAAACATTAACTATTTCCCACCGATGTTTCTTCATCAGAGCTTAAAAGTAATAGCATACTGCAGGGAGCTGTAACAAAGTCTGCGCATTTATATCATAAAATACAGACATTCTCACTTACAGAAACCAGAAACTAGTAAGTGAGTCTTTATTGAAGAGTGGCTGACTTTGTTAAGATAACTGGTTTCTGGTATAAATAGTCCCCGTAAAGAGGGCTTAGTGATTGTTTCTAATCTGGAAGATTGTACACATGAACAAAATGAGGTTAATCACCAAGGTAAATTGCCAATGAAGTAATCCATCTTTTGTTAAATATTAATTACATTTTATTTTTGTCCATCACAGAATTTATGGGTTTCTCATGAATCAAGGATTAATTCATGTATTTATGCTCTGCTGTGAATTGATCCCTTCTCAGTAGAGTGAATGAATTTATTCTGTATCAGCTTTCTGCTTGAAAAAAACATCCTTCATAAGAGAACTGGCAATCTTTGTCAGAGAAATCCAGGCAGAGTGAAACATTTCATTGTTCAAGCTGTTAGTTCCTAATGAGTTCTGCATCTAGACACTTGTGATTTTTTACACTTGATCCAGCAGTAGCATAGCAGTTTAAATGTGCAAGACTTGTTTGGGAGGAAGATTTGTGTTAAAGGAAAGCAGCATGTTCCATAGTTTTAGTATAACATCTGTTATTATCATTCAATGCTGCTCTTAGCCCAGCATGCCCTTCCTCTAAATATCTTATTAATTAAACTGGCTTAGTAGGAAAATAATTAATACTTTAAGTCCTGTACCTACTTTGGATACTGAAAAAAATGTTTTCATCTGAGCTTCAAACTGGAGTGGTTTGGTTTGTTTTGGGATGTTTGTTCCTTTTTTTTTTTTTTTTTTTTTCCATTCTGGAACAGAAACAAATTAGAACTAAAAGGAATACTTGAAAAAATATATATATTTGTAGTCTTCCTAAAGTACAGATAGACTATTAGATAGACTACACAAAACTCTGGTTTTGAGAAGTCTTGTGCTATATTTGAATATGTTGCTTAGTAATTGTTTGGGTGAAGGTATTCCTCTGCTTCTGCAGAATATCCAGCTAGCCCTGGTTAGAAATCTGCCCCGCAGAAGTATTAACATGTTTCTTACCACTACTTTCATAACGTGGCATGTCTGCCTAGCCATGAACTCAGTAGTAACACTGCTGCTACCGTGTACACCTGGCTCTTGACCAGGCAGGAGGGTGGGATGGGGAACATGGGTGGTTGCCAGTGTCTGTGTAAAATGGGCGGACACAATCATATCCTCAGTGGTTGACTTGTGTGACTTGATCTGCACACTCCATGGGGTCAGCACATTTTGTTGGCCATTCTCCCTCGGCTTATTTGTGTATGGTATAGGAAAGGCCGACATGTCACCTGGAAATCCATCTACTTGTGCACAGCATATGGTTATATGCCTGCAGCCATGTGATTGGATTAGTATGTAAAATGTGGATATGTAACTTAGCTATTTCTGGTGAAGTTCAGAAACAGCAGAATTTGCCTGTGCCTTTGTTTTGGAGAAAGTGCTGCTGCCCATGAGCAGAAACTGCTATTTTGCTGCTGGTTCACCCAACCAGATTTCCCACTGAACAGCAGAGGCTGTGTGCTGTGCTCTGTTTACACTCATGGAAAATTACCATTTCTCAGAATTATTGGAAAAGGTGTTCAGTAAGGCCAAATTACTCTTTTAAGTTGGGATTTTAATGATATATTCCATGGAAGAAAGCTTACGAGTTAGCAGTAGTTTGTTTTGGCTTTTTTGGACAGAGCAAGAGAAGCTGTTCTTAAAGAGGAAGGGGAAGAAGATTTAAATGCCATACCAACACAAGACCACTTGTGGGAAAAAGGCAGATGAGGGACTAGTCTACAAAGTGACTTCAGTGTGATGGTTGGGGTGTTTATTTTCCAAAAGCCTATTAGAAATCTAAGTTTCTTTGAAAGTCTATAAGTTGCCTAAAGCACTTCTTAAAAAGGGGCTAAGGCACTTCGGAAAATGCCGTGTCTCTTAAGCCCCAAAGGCTGTTACATTAAGAGCCTCAGAAATAAAACTATACCATGTTGCTGGGGGTATGAGGTCTTGTAGTTGCCATTAATTCTGAGCTGAAGCTCAGAGCGCATGTTCAGGGGAGAGCATGGGTTTTATTAGCTATTGATGGTATCTACTGGCTTTCTTAGACCTGAAGAATACATGTTGAAAGCTGATTTTAGAAATGGAGAAACAAATTTATCCTATGGAAAATAATGCTTTTAAAATCAGAGCTGCCTTGTACATGCTAAGCTATATGTATCTAACAGCAAATAAATTGCAATGAGCACAGTGTGTCAGTGTAAGCACAGCTAATTCATGAAGTATATTGTGACCCTCCGGGAAGAGTGAACAGCCAGCAGTGCCAGAAAAGATTATATCCTCATGTTTCCAGGGACAGGGTGTTTAAGGGCCCCTTTTTCTTTAAATCTGCCTTGGTTAGACCGGAGACGCAAAGTCCCAGTTCATTTGTGCCTGTGTGCATCTGCGCTGTGTCTGACAGCGGAGCATATGGCAGAAGCAATTCGCCCTTGACTGTGCCTGTTTTTTGGCAAGCACAGGCTTGTTTCTTGCAGAGCACACACAGTCCTGCACATCGCTTCTTGTGCCCCTTGCTTGCTGCCTTTCAGAAATTTGCCTGAATGCATGCCCTTTGTGGTATTTTGGTTAATTGGACATTGTTTTAATTACTACTGAACTGAACAAACATGAAGTTTCTGTTATTTTGCTGCCCTGGCAACCACAATCTCCAGGCAACAAATACAGGACTCAGGTTGTTCAGAGCTGATGTTAAATTACACTGGCTGACGTGGATTACCCCTCATTGGTACCTGTTTTGGGCAAAATACCCCTTCAGGGAAGATGAGACTCCATTAAACAGCTCTTTTTTTGCACTGTCCTAAATGCCTAACTCTGCTCTTACTGGAGTTAGTGGCAAACCAGCCTTGTCTTTGGGGAAGTGGAGGTGCTTGTCCTCTTCAATGGCCTGGAGACAATCCACAGACATGTATTTCATTGGCCATGATCTTCTACGTTGCCTTCTTTCTTGCCTTTCTCTCACCAGCTTCTATATTATTTTTTTTCAATTTCTTTGCTGTCTCTAATTCTCCATTTCTTGCTTGGGTCACGTATCTAAATTAAGCAACAGGAATGCAGACATGCCCTCAAATAGGTCACTATATAGTTATTTCTATCAAAATCAGCCATGCAACAACAGCAAACAAATTCTTGGGCTGCCAGTACCTTTTAAGACAGTTTGTCACTGACGTTAATAGGAGAAAAACACTTTAAAAGGAATAAAGCCTTTCAAAATTATCATTTTCCTTCTTTTCTATTAATATTCACGCATCTCCTCTGCTTACAGCTTTGGAAAGAAAGATATCAATGAGGCAAAGCAGAGAGGAGCTTATAAAACGAGGAGTGCTGAAGGAAATTTTTGATAAAGGTAAGTGCTCTTGCTTTTTGCAACATTAAATTGACATCCTGTATAATTTTATGGCCACATCGTACATTGTTGTAACATTAGGAACTGGGAATACCATACAAAATAGCAGGACTGTACAGAGTAAGGTCTCTAGAACATCTCTTGATTTCACACCCTCTTGATTGGATAGATGTGGTAGCTATCTAGCAAATAAAATTGAAAGCTAATCAAAAATGTAAAGCAGTAGAAATATAAGTCTCAGCAGCGTGCAATAGTAACTTGTTGCAGAACAGCAAGGCATCCGGACCATAGGGAGATGAAATGGGTCTGTGCCTGCATTTATTATCAATTGTCTGGTTGAGTCACTGTGGGATTAACAGTTCTGGAAAAAAGGGAATGTTTTAAAGGCTTGGGATCCTGTGATGAGCACAGAACAGTGAACATTCCCTTGAAACAGCTCAAATGTCAAAAAAATAATGATTCCTTTTTCAGGATAATTAATTTGTTGTGTCAGTAATGTACTTTTTATGCAAAACACCATTATTTTACATTGGTAATGCAACACACATTTGACATCTATTGTGTATGTGTCAATCTTTAACTGCAACTTTTATTTGTTTTTCTGCTTCTCTTGTCAATAACTAAGGCAGTGAATTCAGCAAATTATGTAAAAGTATGGCAAAATTGCCTTTTAATTTCAATACAACTTAGGCATGTGCTTTGATATCTCATTAATTCAAAGTCTAAAATTCTTCAGCAGTACCAGTACAAAACCTGGATAAGTCTGTAGAAGCTAAGCATTTTCAGAGATTTTATAGGTACAGTCCATCTCATTAGGTTTGGTCTGCTTAAATCTGCTATATGCTGTTTTAATCTAGTTTATTAGTAAAGAAGAGATTATTTAAAAATTTACTAACCCAAACAAAAGCAATGTGCTGCTTGTGATTACATTCTACTGTTTTTATCCATTGCATATTTTAGATGCTCCTTATCCTTTGGATCGAATACTGCCTGTGCTCTTACTGTGGTGTCTTGGGAGTCATTCTATATGCAACTGCAGAGCAGAAACAACAAATGGCAAAAGGTTTTCCCTTCTCAGTGTCTCAGGTTTTCCACATTTTGGACTGTGACTTGGACCATATACTCAACCATGAAGCAGACATCCCTGTGGCCAGCGAGGCACATTTGAGTCTGTCACTCCATGTGGGTCTCAGCCCAGGGGAAGCCAGGAAGTAGCTCCCAATTCAACACCCTGGGAAGCTTGTAGGACAGCCACTGTTTATCCCTGCACAAACCTAAAGGCATCCAAATGAAAAATCTCTCCTGTGCAGCATGACCCTGCCTTCTACCTTGAAATTCAGGGAAATTCTCCCTGCTTTGCTCCAAAAGGCTGCAGCTTTTTCCCTTCAAGTAATGCTGTAGTCTGTAATCTTCAATATTGCCTGGTAAAGTAGATGTTAAGCTGTCTGAAGTTCCTTATCAAAAAAACAAAACAAACAAAAAGCACTCCTCCTTGTAGTCATTTTTCACGTTTTCATACATAGCAGAAAGAGCTGGTAAGAAACTCGGGCTTCTTCCTGTTTCCAGTACAAGGAGTAGAGACATTGAACTTTTTTTATTTTTCAGATGCAGATAAATGGGAAGCTATCACACAACATGGCTAGATTTGTAATCCAGTATCTCCACATTATTTCCTGCTAGTTGTAAACACAGCAAGCAAAGAAAAATTGGAGCCCTTCCTTGAAAGAAGCAGGGCAGAGATAAAAGTGTATACACACAAGTATAGTAGCATTGATCTTGTGTGATGTGAGGATGAGTATGACAAAATTTGTAGAGGAAAAGTAATCCAAGAGTATTCATATCAGAAGGCTTTATTTGATGGTAGCATCTTCTGTGCCAAGAGGCATCTTGTACAGACAATAGTTGGAGTAATAATGTTAAATCTCTTAGTCTCCCATTCCTAACACTCAGGCCCATGAGTAGGTAATTTTGCCTTTTTCTTTCTTAAAATAATCTGAACATATAACAGGAAAATTAAAATGGATAAACTGACCTAAGAACAGAAATTCTGGAGCTGCAGTGTGCTTAGTACTGTTTTATCACGTATGTTGAAGAAGAACGGAATTAGCCAGTTTGCCTGTTATTTAAAGTGACATTCTGACCTGTTTGCTTCAGGATTTGGTGGCTTTTCAGATGACTTTGTGTTGTCCAGCAGGTGACAGTTAGTAGAGCTCAGTAAGTCACGGCGTTCACAGATGGGAGAATCACTGCAGTCCAGCTGCTATATTTGGGAAACAAGAAATGCTTCAGTGACCCTCATACTTAAACTGTTCAAGTGAAACCACTCCAGACTGAACTGCAGAGAGCTCACTTCTTGGCAAGGGCCAGAATCATGACTGAATAAGTTTCTGCTATTTCAAGGGTTGTGTGACTTGCATCTTCTGCAAATGTGGGCAGATTGCATTTTTTGTCAAATACCGTGTACTTTTAGAAAAATAGTATATTGAAGAAATATCTGGTCAGATGCCTGCTGATCTAATAGTTTGCAGGCAGGCAGAGCCAAGAGCTCGAACACATAGATGAACAGCTTTGATTCTCATATGAAGCTGTAACCATCACTAAAGTATCTGTCTTTAGAGATGCCCAGTGTGCTATGGGCAAAGAATTAAAAGCTACGTGTAATATTTTGATACATCTTCATTCATGTGAACATAGACAAGGTTTCCTGTAGTAAGAAATTTCTGAACAGGAGCGTAGTAATTGCTTACTTCAGAGATGATGATGCAGTGGTTTCCTCAAAGGAAGCATGTGCAGTCTTCATCTTTTGTACGTTTCTATTTTTGTACTGTCTATCTAATCAAAATCAGGGTTTAAAAAACAAAATTTCAAGTTACCTAAACCCTGGCAGGGCTTGAAAATGTTTTGTGAGTGATAAACCTCAAACAAGAACACTTGATTTTCTGTCACTTAGCCCATGGGGGCCACAGCAGAGAAGGGCATGGACATGCCTTGCCTTTCCTAGCCTTGTCCATTGAGAATATTTGTCTGAACATTCATACTTGAGAGAAGGCCAGTACTGAAGACAACCCAAAATGGAAAATAACACAAGATTTAGAATTCTCCTTATCATTTTGGCTAAGCCATTTGTCTATCGAAGGAGCACATGAGCTTTACATTCATCAAGCAGATAGGAAGTTCCCTATTGCAAGGCATTCAGAGTCAAAAGACACAGTGAGAATGTAGGCAGAGCTCCAAAGAAAAGAAACAACAAAAGGCTCAATCTGTACCAGCTATCATGATGCACTGTGGGCTGCAAGTAATTTGAAAAAGAATTAAAAGAAGTGGAAATGGCAGATGAGTTCATGAGTACAAACTGTGCTTAAGGTCCACATCTTTTGAACATATCATCTATATATTTCTGGGCCCTCACCCTGTGCTGTTATTTTCACAGGCAAGGCTGAACCAAAACATCTGGGTTAGAGCCCTGTGCATCAGAGAAATTCCTCTGAGGTTCTGCTTGTTCCATCACTATCCGTGTACAGAGCATCCTGTTTAACACAGCAGCAGCCTTCTTGTGCTCCTTTTGCTTCAGAGTTCACATTACTGACTTTGGTCCAGTCCAGATCATGCTGACTAGCACACTGCCTGCAGTATCAAAGCTCATGCATTTAGGGAAAGTTGTTCTCCACTTAGTAACATAGCTCCCATAAAATGCAGCAAAGGGATTAGCAAGTTTGAGAACAAAAGATTACGTATGTTATCACTGTGCAAAATTAAACTCATAGTTCCTGAAGACTAATCAATTCATCCATATATATGTCATAACTGCATTACTAAGATTATTTCCATTTGTATGTCAGCTATCCGAAATAGCTTTTACTACTTTAAAAATAGCAACTAATTTGCCCTTTATGTCTGGTTGTCAAGCATACCTCTGATCCAGGATTAATTCACACTAAGAGATTCTTCACTTTACAGATGATGATTTTCATCTCCTTCTTTGACCTGTTTACTGTGATTTAGCAGTTCCTGGTGTAGTTCTTCTTTAAGCAAGATCAGATTTAGTGTATATATTTCAGTCATGATACTGTGCCATGTCTGATGATTTCAGTCAAATCCGAGGATGAATTTTAGAGCCTAAATGAAGATTAGAGATTTTCAGAGGGAAGATTAAAATAGGTTATGTTGTCAATAAGGAGAGCTGTCACACTTGCTATTATGACAACAAGTAAAAGTCAAAATTCTCTCTTACTTTGCTTTTTTGCAATAGTAAACCTTCAACAGATAATTTGAATGCTATCTTCTTAAGCCATGCTGAATATACCTTGATAAATGCAAAGTGCATTTAGATAGTAAGATTTCAAGATGCTCTGCATGTTACAATTGGCATCTCCATTAAAAATGTGTAGATATCCCTAAAAAAAAAATAAATTGTTGCTTTTATCATACATACTCATTGTCTGGTCATAGTAATGGTCAAATTTAGTCCTGTACCAAATTAGTGAATATTGGCCATTTACCGAGGCGATCGGCTCCGGGGCAGACGCGTTCTGCAGCGGAGCGGGGGATCGGGCCAGGCAGGGCTAACTTTCCGGCATCGAGCCGACTTCAGGGAGCCGCCAGGACCCGGCAGCCCTCGTGAGGGAGGCTGACGAGGCGAAGGCGGAGCCAGCAGCGCCCCCTGCCCGGCCGTTCAAAAGCAGCCCCTAGGGAACGCGAGCGACCAGGAGCGCGGCGACCAGGACGGGCAAACAGGGCGTGGCGCGTCAGAAGGGAGTGGCGCGGCAGTTAGCGCGGCAGTTCGCGCAGGCAGGGCGAGCAGGAAGGGCGGAGAGCAACCCCCTCCCATACGAACACCTGTTAACGACAGCCGTTAGCTAGGTGATAATGGTCTCCACCAGGCACGGAGGGCTCTGCAGGAGGTCGGTACACACCCAGACCGAGTACCCGTTAAAGAATGCAGCGGTTCAGGTCACGGGATGCAGGGAGTGTCAGAGCCTGTTCCTACCATCGGCGGGAGG